CAACTAAGTGTCCAAGCGCCAGGAATTAGCATAAGAAAGCCTCATCCAACGAAGGCCAGAGGCGGAGGCAGAGTCTGTCCTAAGTAGTGGCGTAGGAGTAGGAGGCTAAGCAGTGCCCACCGCTGGGGCAGAGGGAAAAACCGTTTAGCTCCTAATGAAATTTTACAACCGAAGGGCGCTCGTAAAAGGACCACGTCAGCGAGCCGTGCAGCTAGTTGCTGTTTTAGTTGTGTCTGCCAAACACACACCCTAACCCCACCCACTCAGCCAGCACTCAGCTCAGCTCAGCTCAGCTCGGCACTTGTCTGGCAAGTTTGACTTAAGTGCAGTTTTAACGCTGCTTTGTCCGTCTGCTGCAACAGACACGGACACGGACACGGCTACGGACACGGCTACGGCTACAGACACGGACTCGGGGTAGTCGCTTGCACAGGATGGATGGCGGATGGATCTGTTTACCCTGCGAACGTGTTAACTGCAGGTGTTTGGCATTTGAGTTACGTGCGCACGCAACCAATGTGGCAGCACGTGGTGGCAACATGGGTGCACATTCTTGTCTGTATGCATTGCCTGTCGCCTGCAGCAGATGAAAACCAACAGAGCGGTGCATGTAATTAAAAGCCAGCCACTGGTGCGACATCCCCCTACCCACTCGCAAGTTATGCAAAAGCTGAGAGTGCGGCATAATCCCTGGCACGGCAGAGGGTATTACAAGTATTTGTGGAGGACACACGATGATGGAGCATCGTGGATGCAAATTGTGTGATTAGTTGCAGGGTTGCATTGAGTGACTTTAATGCTCGATAACTATCGATTATGATCGTAGATCATAGCTGTGTGAATGAGCCTTTCCCTTGGCAACTTGCGCGTGAAAAGAGTAGCTGAAAAAGTGCACACCATGTCTGCACCTCACACTTTCTCTCTCTCGTTTCTTGCATGCCAAAACGGATCAAGTGGAAATTCATAACCGTGGCCCATCAGCACTTGCTTTGTCTGCCATTCGAGCTGCAGCCGCGCCAATCGCTTGCAAAGAAAAAAGAGAAGAGCCAGATAATTGGCCAAGGACATGGCTTGTGGCTGAGACGTTGACGTTGTGGGCACAAACAAACAGCAAGAAGTTCTGCGTTGCATTCTGTGTGGAACGTGCCGCTGCAACGCATGGGACAGATAATGATGATGCTGAGGAGCCTCTCCTGGACCAATCAGTTTGAGTGCTTTGATATATTGGGCAATGCCCGCAAATGAGTGCGTGACTCGAAACGCTGAGGACCACTCGATGTTGCCGCACACGTCGCACAGTGGAAATTTAATTTCAAGTTGAGAAATACTCCGGCAAATGTCATCAGCCCAGAACTGAGTCCCACCACCACCACCTGCACCTGAGGTGCACTTATGGCACTCGGCACTCGGCATTGGCATTGGCATTTGGCATTTGGCATTAGCATTCCCCTTACAGCCCGCCCAAGTCTAGATAGCGAAAAAACATGCACAACAATTGCCTCGAGACGGGAATGATGATGCGAATGGGTTTTGGGTTTTGGGTTTGGCATCGGCATCGGCATCGGCAGCTTGTTTTGCCTCGTGGATGGATTCAGCGATTTTATGGCAGCACTTGGCTACACCAGCTCCTGGCTGCCTGGCTGCCTGGCGAAAATAAACACACATTTTCAAGCTCAATGCCAGTGCGGGGCCAGAGCCCCGAGAACAAAGCCGAAACGAGCCAGAAATAGAAACAGAAACGGCAACGGAAACGGAAAAGTATTGGCCCCCAGCAGCAGCTTCCACGTTCCTGTTGGCTCCTGCTGTCTGCCAACGGACATATAATGAAGTTTCGCAATCGCAATCGCAATCGCAGTGGCTGTGGCAGTGGCAGTGGCTGTGCCACCCTGCCCCGTGTGTTTGCAGCTCAAGTGTGATTACATGGGCCATGTTCGTTGCCAGCGTCCGTGTGTTTGTGTTTGTGTTTGTGGCATAATATTATTGTTTTTGTGCTCGCGTGTGAAATCAAACTCGGAATGCAGTCTCAGTGCATTGGCAAAAGGATTAAAAGGAGCGCCAGCAGGCGGAACGTGCATGACATTCGACGATTGTTCCACCTACAGCCAGTGATCCAGTGTGCCCCCAGTGCCACTGCCACTGAGACAGTTCAGGCAGCTGGCAGCTTGTAAGTGTAAACAGATACATAAAGCCCGTCGCAACGACTATGCCAATGCGCTGCAGGATGCAGTGCACACAGAAGGGAAGTTCTTGGAGGTAAAATGATTGAAAATAAATGCCCAAAGGGTGCAGAAATGACGCAAATAACTGATACACCCTTTGGCCGGTGGAAGAACGCAACCAGAAACCAAAACCATAACCAGACTCATCATGGGGGGCTTGTCGGCAGCTTCCCCCAAAGGACAGAGAAACAGCACCCAGGCTGCCCCACGCCGTGGCATCTGTTTCAGCAGACAAGACCCGAAAGAGCAACAGTGGCAAATGGAGGGGCAGCAAGGGGCAACAAGTTTGAGGCAAGTTCGAGTGGAGCAGCGGCGTGCAGTTATTTGACTTTTCACTTTTATTGCTTTATGTAGTTTAGATAAACGTTTGTGGCATGCCATAAATATGCAGCATCCACAAGCAAACTGCCAAAGGGCTGCAAAGCAACCAAAAGGAGAGCAGCAAGCAAGCAACAACTCAACTCGACTCGGGCATTGGATTGCTTACACGGGTGTGGCACTCACTTGGGAAGCGGCTTTAAAGTAATTCTGGATTGGAGTTCTCCTTTGAGGTTGGCCTCTGCCTAAGTAAGTCCCGTGAAAGCGAACGCGTGTCCTGTCTGCTGTTAGCCTTCGATGACAGACGGGCAGAGGGGCCAACTATTTGTGATTTATGTTGTCACTTACAACTGTGGCAACACAGGCGGCAGCTTGTGTGCTTGCACTTGACTTTTGTGCAATTTGCCTTAAGCTTAAGCAGCGAAAGTTTTAATTAATTTCACACACACGAAACTTAGGTGAAACAAGGTGTAAAGAGGCGTGCGGATAGCAAGGGTGGGACAGGATAATGTGTCTGTGGGCAACCATCATTATCGCGAGCATCATCAACAAGCTGTGGCTGTGGCGCCATAAAATGCGGAAAGGCAGAAGGCAAACAAATGGCAGCTGCCGCCGCAAAGTATGCAACACGTTTGCCCAAGCAGTCGGTGGGTAAGGCAGTGTGTGGGGTGGTTAAGGCAGTGCCGCAGCTGGATTAAGGCTTAGGCTCACACAAAAAGCAAAACCAAACATCAAGCTGTAATATTCGATGCGGGCTTTTACACGGGCTTAAAGAAGAGAAATATTTCAAGTATATCTTAAAGAACATCTGAGAGCGATCTGTGGCCACACTCAATCAATCAGCCGCCATGTCATCTTTACAACGACTTTCTGTGCTTATCCCCATGCTCGGTGGCCTGTTTAGCCATTCAGGGGAGCAGCGTAAACCAAACATGTCAGCGGATGCCTGCTGGATTTTTGCCCGCTTTTGAATGCATTTGAAAATCCGCTTAAATGGCAACCGAAAACTGAACACAAACACGTACAAAGGCTGCCCCATTCCGCGATGTGAAGGCTGCTGCTGCTGCTGCTGCTCCTGCCATGGAGTCAAACACCTGCGAAATTGAATGAGAAATAACCATTCAGTGTGCGTTGTTGCTGGTTTTCCGCTTTCACAACTGGCCAGAAACAATTTTATTTCACAGAAAGAATTTGAAGCAACACAAAAGGATTTTCAATGCACCAAAACTGCAACTTATTTTTGCTTTCTGGCTAACCGAATATTCAATTGAGTTGAGTTTCGTTTATTGTGCTCGAATATTTGCGGCATCTTTAAGTTCCGTGCCCCATTGGCCACTCCCAGAGAAAAAAAGGGGAAACTATTTTGCTGCGGCCAAATTTTAAATTAAAACAAAACTTTGCTCATCATATGAGGTGGCACGGCGCTGCTGTTGTTGTCGCTGGGATTTGGCACATATCTCTCCTCCAGTCTGTAGACTGTAGTTTTTTTTCTACTCCATCCATAAAGCATCAAACGTCAGTGGCAGTGAACGTGGCGACGCACAATTTCAAAAGTTTGAATTGAGTTGCGTCCCAAGCAGGAGCCAGGACCCTAGCTGCAGTTGTTTTGTTTGCCAATCCCAAGTCTCAACTCCCCTGGCAACACGTCATCATCAGAAGCAACAGCAGCAGCAGCAGCAGCAGCAGCAGCAGCAGCAGCAACAGCAGTAGCAGCAGCAGCAGCAGCAGCAGCAGCAGCAGCAGCAGCAGCAGCAGCAACAGCAGTAGCAGCAGCAGCAGCAGCAACAGCAGCAGCAGCAGCAGACTCACAGCGCGGGAATCACACAAGCAAAAAAAAAAAATGTAAGTATGATAATGCCATTGGGGATTCAGCGCTTTACATGACTCATTCAAGCTGTGCTTGTGCGAAATTATGTTATGCATACGGGATCTTAAATATATACTACACATTCGTAAGCGATAAATATTTATTTACTTGTGACCGCAAACAGAATCCCCGTTCTCGCTCCGTTTTAGTTGCGTTTGTGCGCTGGTAAGTCGAGCATCGGTTTCGTCATGGATTGGTCGCTGATTTTCCGCTTGTTCGCACACAATTATCACCGATCAAACTTAAGTCCCTGGTTGCTGCTGCTCTTTGGCGCGATCTTCGTGTTAACGCTGTGCGGCTACTGTTATTTTTGCCATCGGTTCATACGCGAGCGTCGTCGGCTTCGATCGGGAAATCGGCAGCAACGACCACAGCCGCTGTCACGTCTATCGGTCAGCCCGGGCTGTCAGCACATTGTCAACACCAAGCTGGCGCACACGAATAATCTCGCTGAGGTTTACTAAGCTAGGAGTACGGAATTTTAGCTGTTGAGAGGCTAACTTAAAGAACGGTAGGGAAATGGAATAATCAGTGGAAGATTCTAAAGAGCAAATTATATTTTGGCGTCAGCATCCACTGATCCGAACGAAAGTCTACACGAGCGGCGGGCAGCGCTGCTCGCAGTGAAGGAACGCGGTGGAGCAGCGCAGTCCAAAATGAAGGAGTGCGTCTGGAAGCTTTGACCGAATTGATGAAGAGCGACTGGCAGCGCTGCCTGAAATGATGGAGAGCGGCGAGCAGCGCTGCAGCAGCTGGTAGCTAGCGTCTGGAGCTGGCAGCTGGATGAATTCATATTTTAGATCTAAGTTTGATTTCTACCAAGCCAGTCGTGGCCTGCAATAAGTAATTGAGTTAACTAATAATCTCATGATTTTACATACAGCCTTCCGTCATAGTTTCACGTCAATGTTTACATTCATGGAATTTATTTGTACTCTTTTAGCTTCGGCCTTCACCATGGAACTCAACATAAGAGATAACCAAATCAGCATGGTGTACTTGGTCGGTGCACCAATCTTCGTGTCCCTGCTGCTCGTTCACTTCTACTACTGCTGGCTGAGTGTACGCGAGTGTCACCGCTCAAGGGTGAGAGGGGAGCATCGTCTGCTGCTCTCGCGCGCCCACGCGTCTGTAGTACTGCAAGTTGAGGTCTTTTGACAAACGGAACGGTTCGGCTGAATGTGACTCATTCATTAAACTGGACTTATCGCCAAACTGGGGGGGTCGGTTCTTATCTTTCATTCTGAGTTTGCTTGAAATGCTGTGAAATGTGGTAAATTAATATTTATATAGTTCTGATTTGCCATATTAATACTAAGAATAGATGTACTTACATTATATTATATAGCGGTTAAAGTCATTATGTAAATTTCTGTATTTGTGGTACGTGCCATTAAGGTTAAGCATTCATCATACATATAATAAGTATTAATTGCTTGCAATTCCGCAATTGTGCATTTTTACCTAGTTTTACTTTAATATAAAAGGCTCAATTTTAAAGCAAAAGCTGTGCAATGTTTAAATTCATATTTTATAGTGTTTAACAGACATGCGATTTACAGGCTCCCGCACTGTAAACTGTTGAGCATGCTGTTAGCGATGGATGTAAGCGCTCGCTGTTATCGATCGATGTAAACGCGCGCTGTTACAACTCTCTGAGAGCTCTGGCAGAGCGGTCTCCACGAAACTCTACACTCGGCTTTCTTATCGTTTAGCAATTTACATAAATTTATATTTATTGACCTTTAAATGTTGTATATTATTAATTTTTCCGACTCCCTTTTGCCCATCTCTATCACATTAAATTGTGTGCTTTTAATGGAAAGCTACAAGAAATTTGTCCCCTGGCCGAGTAATAAAATGTTTGATGAGCTCCTGGCGAGCACCTTAAAATGGAGCTTAAAGTGGGAACGTGATGTCTGTTCATGCATGGCTACATATGTGTGGGTGTGTGCATCTGTTGTTGCTTGCTTACGGCGTGGGGTCATAAATTTCACCAAAAACTTGGCTATGCATCTTCGCTGACGTTTCCTTTCACGACCTGCAAAATTTAGCGCTGCACGGCGGTTTTTGATGGCCCTCAGCGGCAGGACGAGATGCGCTAATAAATGACATTTTCATACACCTGACGGCGAGTGGTAAACTGCTGGGAGACGACCAAGAGACGTCCAAGGTAATAAGCAAAAATTAAATAGTTCCGGCTTAAAACCAGTCCAAATGGCCAGTGCCAGAGCCACTTTAATGAGCTCAAAATGGATAATACTCGTAATTAAGAGGAATTTATTTAGTTATGAATTAGCAAATTAAACAGTGTATAAGGAGTGAGAATTTGAAGTTTTTAATGTGAATGGAATATTTGAAGTATTAACAGAATTAAATGAGAGGAAAATTAGTTTTAAGAGGTGTTTATTGAGGCAACATTTGGCACGTTGAAGGAAAGTTTTTATTCCAATTAAGTGGTACACATTTTATTTTAGCTAAACATTAAAACTCCCCCGAAATGTCGCTACTAAAAGGCAAATCAAATCGAATTAGCCAACTTTAGATTCGGGCAACTTTCTGGCAGATGTCTCTCTATCTATGTATTTATACTTTATTATAGCGAATGGCTGGTGTCACCCTTCTGGCCAAATTGAAACGCTAAAATAATTTACGGCCCAACTAGCCACACGGCTGCAAAATGGACACCAGTCCCAGCTCCTGTTGCTGCTGTTGCTGCTGTTGCTGCTCTATCTTCGGTTTCAGTTCTTTCCCCATGGCCAGCTTAGTCCCGCCCCGCTTGATGGCTGGCACGTTAAATGCCATCGAAATGCTCCCAGTTGGAAAATTAGTTTAAAAATACGTTCGGCAGCTGCTGCAAGAGGAGCAGGAGGAAGGCAGCAAGTTCGTGGCTGAATGTGGCTGTGGCTGCTGCTCATCTTTTTTATACACTTGCAAAGGGTGTTCCGACTTTGAGGAAATATTTGCAGCAAAAAGGCAAAGAAGTTGCGAAAATTATAAAAATTATTATTATATTCTAAAGTACCGCACACAAAAACCTCAGTTTTTCTAGCAATCATTTTGTTTTCTTTAAAAGTGCATCTAAGACTCCGTTCTCAAAATCTTAGCCTTCCCCTTTTGGTGTGTTTCTGTCTCTATTTTGTTTTGTGTGCCAGCAGCACGCGGCCTGCGCTCGGGGTGGCGTAAAAATTCACTTAGCTCAAGTTGTCCCCCCTCGTGTTGGGTTCAATAAAAGCGACAAGTTGCCCCAAAAGCAACTAAGGAGCTGGATACACATAGCTAAAGAAGTTTGGTGGGAGTTGCCAAACCAATAAAATGTTCGTGTTTTACAATTTTATTAGGTGGCGCGAGCTCATCAAACATTTCCACTTGCAAAGCAAAAAAAGCAAAAAAAAAAAAAAAAGAGAATCGAACATTTATAGCCGATTGTGGCATTGTTCGTTGCGCTTCGTTTAAGTAATTGCATTTTAGTGGACACACTTGTGCGAGGTGGAGGGGTTGGAGTTGGAGTTGCAGTTGGAGTTGCAGCCTGAGACCTTAAATCATTTCGTGTTTATCTGGTGACCATAAATTAAGGCATTAGTCGTCGTCCCTGCCCTGGTCGCATCGAACTGTTTGCACTGCGACCGTTGCATACGGCCGTGCAGCTGCTGCCGCCAAATGTGGGATTTACACTGCGGTGAGGCCACCCCAAACCGCAATCGAAGTCGGCACAGTCACACCTACAGCATAGCAGAGGACAACACAGCACCCCCCCGCGCGTTCAACCTGATCTTTAATTGTCCAGAAGAAGTGTGTGCGTGTGTCGCAGGCGCTGCACTGGCAGAAAGGTAAGTCCAGGCATGTACTTTTAATGCAGCTAAAAAATTCAGTATTAAAAAGCAAATTTATACAATTATTTTATTTCTTTTATTTCCTTATTTCCATCTTCTTTTTCGCTCAGTGTGTTTGCCTTTGTTTGATTTAGTCGTTGAGCGCAGCACTTCGAACTTTTGTGTATTGCCGAAAATCGAGACGAAGGTGGAGAAGCTTCAGTGGTCGCCATACCCCCCCCCCCCCCCCCCCCCCCCCCTTTTTTTTGTGTTAAAAAAAAAGCCTCTTTTCTTTCTCTCCCCCCCCCCCCCTCCTTCTCGCTTTTTCGTTTTTTTCTC